TTGAGGCCAGGAGTGGTGGCTCACACCTGTAATCCTAGCACTGTAGGAGGCCAAGGTGGTTGGATTGCTTGAGCTCACAAGTTTGAGAAATGTTCAGCCTGAGCCAAAATGAGACCTTGTCTCAACTAAAAGTTGAACAACTAAGGCAAAGAGGATCACTTGAGCCCAAGTTGGAGGTTGCTGTGAGCTATGACTCCACATCACTTTACCCAGGGTGACAGAAGGATAATGTTCTTCAGCTCCATCCGGGTAAATACAAAAGATGTAAAGTCTCCACAGTATTCCATGAATGTGTGTGTGTATACACACAGATACATACACACACTTACACACATACTGCACTTTATTAACCCATCAATGAGTTGATGGGCAGTTGAGTTGTTTTCACATCTTTGTGATTGTGAACTGAGCTACTATAAACATATGACCTTGACAAAATGATTTTCTTCTGGGAAGATACTAGTAATATAATTGTGGGATCAGATTGAAGGTCTACTTTTAGCTCGTTCCACGGAGGCTACATTAGTTTGCAATCACACCTGCAGTGTATAAGTGATCCCTTCTCTCCACATCCATACCAGCACCTGCAGTTTTGGGACTTTTTTATGTTAACTATTCTCAAGAGTTAGGTAATATTTCAAGGTGATTTTAATGTGCTTTTCTCTAATGACTAGAGACAATAAGAAGTTTTTCATGTGATTGTTGGCTGTTCATCTGTCCTCATGGGAGAAGGTTCTGTTCAGATATGTCTCTTGGCCAGTGATTAATTGCCTTATTCTTGTTATTTTGCTCAAGTTCTTTGTAGATTCTGGTTATTAGCCCTTTGTCAGATTCATAATATGTAAATATATTCTGAAGTTGCCTATTTGTTTTGTTTATTGTATTCTTTGCTGTGCAGAAGCCTTAAAGTTTGATTAGGTCTCAGGTATTTATTTTATTTATTTTTGCTGTTGCTATAATTGCCAATAAGATCTTTCTCATAAAATCTTTATCCAGGCTGATATCCATAAGAGTTTTTCCCATACTTTCTTCTAGAGTTTTTATAAATTAGTGTCATAGATTTAAATATTTTATCCAGCATGAGTTAATTTTTGTGAGTGGTGAGAAGTGCAGGTCCAGTTTCAGCCTTTTACATGTGGCTAACCAGTTCATACCATTTATTAAATAGGGATTCTTTTCCCCAGTGTTTGCTTTTGTTTGGTTAATTAAAGATTAGATGGTGATATGTGACAGTTCATCTCTAGGTTCTCTATTCTATTCCATAGACCTATACCTCTATTTTTGTGCCAGTACCATGCTGTTTGCTCACTGTAGACTTATAGTATAACCTGAAGTCTGGTAATGTGATGCTTTCAGATTTGTTTTTATTTCTTAGACTTGCATTGGCTATTTGGGTTTTTTCCAAGTTCTTCAAAGTATGACATTGGTGTTTTAATGGGGATTGCATTAAATCTGTGTATTGCTTTGGGAAGTATAGACATTTTGACAATGTTGATTCTTCCCAGCCATGAGCACATATGTTCTTCCATTTGTTAATATCTTCTGCTGTTTTCTCAGGGTTTCATAGTTCTCTCTGCAGAGATCCTTCACATCCTTTGTTAGGTATATTCCAAGGTATTTCATTTTCTTTGAAGCTACTGTGAAGGGTATTGTTGTGACTTTGACTTGATTCTCAGCTTGTCTGTTATTGGAGTATATGAAGACTACTGGTTGGTGGACATTGATTTTATACACTGAGAGCTTACTGTATTTCTTGATCATTTCCAGGAGTCTTGTGGGTGAGTCCCAGGAGTTTTCTAAGTATGAGATCATATCATCAGCAAAGAGTGAAAGTTTGACCTCTTCTGTCCTTATTTACGTGCCCTTGATAGCCTTCTCTTGTCTGATTGCCTTTGCCTCAACTTTTCAGCACCCTGTTGAATAGTAGAGGTGAAAGTGCACATCCTTGTCTCGTTCCAGTTCTAAGTGGAAAAGCTTTCAGTTTTACTCCATTCAGTATGATATTGGGTATGGGTTTGTTGTAGATGGCTTTTACCAATTTAAGCAACGTGCCATCAATACCTCTTTTCTTAAGTTTTCTTATCAGAAAAGGATGCTGAATTTTGTTGAATGCTTTTTCTGCATCTATTGAGAGGATCATATGGTCTTTGTGCTTTTATTTATGTGGTGAATTATATCAATGGATTTGCATATGTCGAACTAACCTTTTTGTGGTAGTGGTTTTATTGTTGCAATTTTGGTGCATGATATATTGGATGGTTAAAGAGTTCTGTTTCCTCCTGATTAAGTTTAGAAGATAGGGTGATTCCACGTTAGTCCAGAGGATCCAGAGTATTTTTAAAAGTTTTTTTTTCTTAAAAGACCACCTTTAAGTGCCCAGAGGATGAAAAATATAGGAAAACATACAGGGAATATGATTGACAATAGTTAATTTCTTTATTTAATTATGTCTAGAATACTTTGGACACTATTTCATGTTTTGTGCAGGGCTTTAATTTTCATATATGAAAGAGTGTCCTTTTAGTAATTAGTAGTATAAGCCACACTGAACATAATATAGGATTTAAATAACTAACAGAGATCACAAAACTCTTGTGTACGTGGTTCTTTGTAGCATTTTATTGTTTACAAAAGACCTTAATTTTTCTTTTTTCAATTTCTAGCCTTAATGTATATCATGGTGTCTATAGCTAATATGAATGTGTTATATACTTGAAAATTGTTGAGAGAGTAGATTTTAAGTATTCTTCCCCCACCAAATGATGAGTATGTAAGGTAATAGTTTATATCAGTTATCTTGATTTAGCCATCCACAGTATATACATGTATCAAAACATGTTGTGTACTATAAATATATATTAATTTTATTTGTCAATTAAAAATTTAAAATTAAAAGCCAACAATTCTTTTTTTTTTTTTTTTTTTTTTTTTTTTGA